AACTCCTGAGCTGAAATGATCCACCTGCCTTGGCCTCTAAGAGTGCTAGGATTACAGGTGTGAGCCACCGCATATTTTTTCTTGACAGAAATTTTTATTCAAATCCTTAGCCCATTTTTGATTAGCTTATTTGCCTAAATATTGAGTTATGTTTTTTGAAATATATTTTTATAATATTTCCTCATTAGGCATATAATTTGCAAACATATTGTCCAGTTCTAGTTGTTTTATTTTTGCTTTCTTGATGGTGTCCTTTCAAGCACAAAATTGCTTATTTTGATGAAGTCAGATTTATGTATTTTAATTTGATTGCTTTAGCTTTTGGTGCCATATCTAAGAAACTAATAGCAAATCTAAGGTCACAAAGATTAATCTGTATGTTTTATTCTTTGAGTTTTGTAGTTTTAGCCCTTAAACAAGTTTTTGACCTATTTTGAGAATTTGAGGTAGGGGGTTCAACTTTATTTTTTGTATGTTGATAATCAGTTTTCTAACCAGCATTTGTTAAATAACCTGTTCTTTCTCCATTAAGTTATTTAGTCACTCTTGTCCAAAAGCATAACTGAGAGTCGGCATGGTGTCTCACGCCTGTAATCCCAGCACTTTGGGAGGCTGAGGCAGGAGGATCACTTGAGTCCAGAACTTCCAGAACAGACTGGTATACACAGTGAGGCCACGTCCTCACAAAACAGACAACGAAAAAATTGGCAAGGCGATTTATTATTGGTAAAATTGGTTGGAAAGCAGGGCTATGTACACAGACCCAAGGGTTTTCTTGGATCATTATGATTAGGTTCAGTTGGAGTGCTAGAAAACTCACAGTAGTGTCTTAAACAAGGGAATGATTTACTCATTTAAAAGTCCAGATGTGTCAAATCAGGACTGGTAGAATGTTCTACAATACTAGACACCTGGAGTCGTTGCTAACTTGTTGATTTCCTATGCGTGGGTTCCTTTCCCAGGATCATCTGGGTGTCTGGGACGGCTGCTGCAGCTCTGGCCATAATGTGCATATTCCAGCCAATAGGGTAAAGAGGAGAACAAGGGCAGGATACCTCCATTTAAGGACACACCACTTTTGCTTATTTTCCATGAGCTACAACAAAGTCACTCAACCATATCTAGCTAGGGAAGAAAGTATTCTGGGTGATCATGTTCCCAGGCAAATTTGAAATTCTATTATGGGAGAGTTAAGAACATTTACGGCCAACTTGTAGTCTCTACCCCATTCTTGAGTTAAACTCATACAACCAGACAGAGGCAAAGCTAGGCAAACACGAGCCTCCCTTAAAAAAGGGCAAGGTGTTGGCCACACAGCAGACTTGCCTCAAGGGTAAGTTGCTTGGATGAGGGGAATGCATAAGGGGCTGAGACACATGTGCTTGCTTCTCTCAATCCCACACATTGCCCTCTCTCAGTGGCTGGGCAGCTCCCTTCCTAATTGATGTTTGGCTTTTCTGAGGGGCACTACAGTGAACTATCACAAGGCAGGAAAGCAGTACACAATGCAGCATCACAGTAACAAGGTTTTCTTAATTTTCCATCATCTAGCCTTTCTATGTCTTCACTGTCCTTTAGATTAAGAAATCCTCCTGAATAGTCATAAGAGAGTTTTTCTTCTGGCAAAATGTCTTTGGCTGCAAAAAGTGCCAACTTAGGTACCATTGAGTCAATCTGGACAGGAATCAGGAATAGGTTTGGCTCAAAAGAACGATTAAGGAATCTTCCAGTATTTCCTAAGTAGGTAGTGTCAACAACTGTTTGCATTACCTGCCCATTATAAACATGTTCCCTGATGGCTATTATGTAATTTGAGTCGTACATTGTAAGTGAATTCATCTCTGTACTTCAGAGAATCCTGAAA